ATATTGTCGTGTCATAATTTTAATTGTCACCTCTATGTATCGTCACCTTTTTATGTTGTTCTTTTCAGTATTTTTTATGCTTCTATTAAATTTTAAACACGCACGCGCTCACACATAAACAAGTTAAATTTAAACTTTGTAATATTGTTCATGAGTTATAATTTACTTTTTTTGTATTTTTATTTTTTTTGTCGATAGTCTTTATTAGAGCTAAACAACATTTTCTTCCTGTTGGTTAGGACGTAATTGTGTGCTATTTAATTGCGTATAATTCTTCAGTTAAATTTTAAAAAATTTCATTTTGGTATTTTTTGTTATATTAAAATTTGAGTTTAGTATCATCTGTTTTAAAAAGTTTCATGTCGGTATCTCACTCTTTTAAAAAATATTTTTTTGATACCTCGGAGCCATTTTTTAGGACACAAAAAGACAAAATGACTCTTATTGTAAAATGCATCAGTTGGCTAGAATTTTGAAGGAAAAAAATGATTTTAAAAATTGTTATACTTGTAGAGCATAATCATTTTTTAAAAATTTATCTCTTCAAAATCTTTTTTTTAAAATTTTTTTCCCTTCAAAATTTTAGTATATTATGTAATATATTATATTTAAAATTATATGTTGTAGCATATTACACATAATACATTTAGTTTAAATATAGTGAATAGAGTCAATGGCCCTAAATCCGTCTCTGCACCGCAAGGTTAAGATCTTAATCCATTTACGGTCCAAATCTATTTATAGAAGGGCTGTGCTTGGAGTTGTTTTTATTTTTGTTTTTCACATTTTTTGAAAAAGAAAAAATGAAAATAGAAGAGATACGGCGTTTGACACAATTAAAGACAAAAAACGGAAATGAAAACGAGTTTTTGGTTTAGTGTAAAATGAGAGAGAAATAAATAACGACTTTTAATTAGTCATTTTTCATTTTTTGTTTCCGTTTTCTCCACTCTCGAGCAGAGAGAGAGTGACATTAATGAATTTTTTTATATTGAAAATAATCTCTTGATAAAACTACCAAACGCATTTTTAAAAATAATTTATATCTAAAATTAAAAACGTTTTCATTTTCATTTTTTCATATAAAAAATAAAATCATTTTAAAACGAGTTTTAAACGCGCACCAAGAGTTTCTCATTCCATTTAAGATGGATTCCCGCATATAAATGGATTAGTAGGCAAAATAGTTAAACGGTGTTTATACTGAGAAACAAAACATTTTGTCTTCGATGACGTGATTGACGTCCACACGCCTTCGTGAAGGTTTTTGACATTTAAGAGTAAGTCTATATAATTATAATTTGATTAAAATAGGCTTATGACATAAAATACATCAACTCTTTTTTTTTATTAATTTTTTTATAACTCTATTTGATCACAGCCAACATCAAGAGTCAAAAATTTTATTTTTCCTCAGAAAGAAAAAAGTGATAAGTAGTATTTAAAAGCCCATACTGTACATAACTGTGATCGGTTAGTTGCATATTCAAATATACCCAAAAGGGTCACATTATTATAAGATCTAGCGATATATTAAAAAGCCATCTGTAAAAAAGTGGATATTTTCCATCTTCTTGTATTTAGCTTTTAAATATCCACTATAAACATATAGCTATTAAAAGAATATTTGATACACAGTATTGTATTATATAATATAATATTATATTACATTTTGTAAAAATTACATACGGTGTTTGGTTGGTGATTTTTTTCCGTATTAGATATTACACTTCGTATTGTATTAATTTTAAATCTCGGATTAAATTATACAACGTATAAATGTCACTAAATATTGTATTATTATTAAACAATATAATAGGAAGTGCTTTTACGGTGTACCAAACATACCCTAAGACACATAATTAATCAGAGCAACGGATTGTTGTCAATGGTATATTACTTTGAAAAATTCCTTATTTCTCTCCCATGGGGTTTCAATTAATCATTCCTATTGTTGACGGTGAAAATTCGTCAACTGAAATAATAATGAATTTTCGTAACGGTAAGTGCGAATTTAATGATCTAAAACATAATTAAAAGCAAAATTAAAGCGAGAACACACAAGATTTATAGTGATTCACCCTCGATTTGAGAGCTACATCCACTGTGGGGATGAGAGAAAATTCACTATTGTGGATAGATTACATGCTCAAATGCTCAAGATGAGACTTAGGGATTTTCTGACATATAATCTCTAATTTATATCTTTGGTCATCGCCCATGCTTGTTTACTTATTCAAATTTGGAATATTTCCCTTATCTTTTGGGATAGTTTCTCAAAAGAGAGAGATTACAATTAATTAGGGTGGTTTTCTTCTTTAAATTTCATATTTTTAGATTACAAATTGTAAATCTCGGAGGAAATCCTTCAGATTTTTATCTCTGTGTAGCTTCAACTCCGTAGATGTTTCTCATGGGTTCTCCGCTTACGTTTATAAGTGCGATTGACCTCACGACCATCCTTCATTCTTTTCAGATCGGTCGACCTCTTACTAATAGCAGATGCGTCCTTCTAACGGCCGACTCTTAAAAAAGCTATCTACTGACGTGACTCTTAGGGCTGAGCTGCCCTTGAACATTTAATGCTATTTTTTATGGCTTGCGGACCCCATTCAGAATCTAATTTTAGAGTTCAGCGTTTTACCTTACAACACTTATTAAACCTCTCACTAAGAAAAGTTTTAGCGTCTTGCCTCTTTCTTTGGCAGACGTTATCCTTTGGTGATACGATATCTAACTAGAAACTGAAAACTAATTAAATACCATAATATATATTGATAAGGAATAAATAAAAATCATGTTCTCGTCGTTTGCCGCGTTTGGTTTTTTAGTTAAACAGAATGTAGACGAAGAAAAAAAGTCGGTTTTCTTCTCAGCATGGGGAAAAAATTTACACTATCTGATATCTTAGAAGACTACTATAGTGTGTTTATATATAGATAGATATATAAATATATATATATATATATATATATATGTTTTTTTTAAGGTTTTTCCGGGATACCGTTCTTCAAACATAGCATATACAACTAGAAAAGAAATATATATTATAGTTATTTAAACGTAATATAAATGATTTTTTAGCATAACATGTTATTTAACGTAACAGAAAAACGTAACACCAAGAACTATCACTTCGTATATCTTGATATTTCACATTTTTACTGTCACGTTACGTAGAATAAGTATCACTTTACGTTTTTAATTTTAATCGTTAGAGGGACGGTTCTTTCGGAGAGACTAAAAAAAAAACCATATATATATATATATATAAATGTGCTCCTATATAGTTCCTCCGATAAGAGTTCTCTAAGATATGAAAAATGTAACATATACAGTCCTTAAAGGTAACATTGACATTAAAAAATTATAACGAATTTAGTCATCCAAATACTTGTCATACCTCTCCAATGTCAATATTATGTTCAATGACTGTTATGTGATGTTTTTCATATTTACGTCACATCGGAGGGACCTCACACCGGACACATTGAAGACAAAATATACATATAGTTTTCAAATTAATGTTAGAGTAATTATTAAAACCATAATCATATACATATATATGGTTTATATGTGTTTGTATATATATATATCCTCATGAATTATGGCACTGAAATTAATTTCAAGCTAATCGAACAGTACTTAGTTGATCTTCAACATCAATTATTCGGAAAAAGAAAACTAATTACAATGCTCTTATTTGCACAGGTCAAACAGAATTATATAATTAGATTTCAGTTTTTACGTCTAGAAATACTATTACAAACTCTAGTTGGTCTCCTATATGGCTATATCTATTTGCATTTTATAAACTCACTCATCTACACCTCTAGCACTCTCTTACTTACGTATACGCGGAGTAGTGATATGGAATATAAAATATATTTGATCCCAAGCTAGAAAATATAATTCAAAATGTTTTTTCCCCTCTCGAAAAGAAATATTTAAGCCCCCGTTCATTTCACTAATTTGAGTTTAGAATTCGAGTTTTGCTACAGTAAAAAGCTCTCAGAAACAGTCATATCTAACATTTTTACTACAGTAAAAAGCTCTCACATAAAGTCACATCTCAACTCGAATTAAAAACTCAAATCAGCGAACTAAACGTGAATGTGCCTTAACTATTAAGAACGAATCTCTATACAGAAACGTGTATACGAAATTAATGAATACATATTTAACACAAGAATTAAGATTTGTTGTCCTATTTTTCTGTTTCGGTAGCTGTATCTTTTATAAAATTTTGAAACATCATAAGTATTTTGTTTATTTTGTTCCTATTTATGTGATTAGATTTCTAAATTTAAATGACGTGACTAATAATTAGTGGCATGACTAATAATTAGTGGAAGAACAGCCACCAAGACATGATGATGGACAGAGGCACACATTACAGTAAATAAGTACTAGTTCATGTATGTGTCCCCAGTCTCAACGACAAGTTTAAGGATGAACAATGATATTAAACAGCTAATTTTTATCAGCATAAATATACTCATCCCCACTCAGATTTTACAATTTTTTTGTTTTTATCCCTTCAAACTTTAAAACTACATTCTCACTTAATAACTAAACTATGTAAAAAAAAAATTTCTGAAAAAAAATTGTGGCTCCAATTAATTAATGTCAACTCTTGGAACACCAGTGAGTTCATTAACGCATATGGTGTCAATTAGGTAGCAGTTTGACCCAAAATTTTTGCATTTAAAAAACCCATGTGGGAGGCACACTCCCCATAAGCATTTCCTGTAAAAATATGTTTTAGTTAAAGTTTTTCTCTTATTATTATTATGTTTTCAAAGGTTTGTTACTCACAGTTTTTCAATTCAACAATCTGCATTTTATTGTGTCCAAATAATTTATTGTACAGGTAGATGATAAATGTTGTTCCTATATATATGCCATGGTCATCTGACCACTTTCTGTGCAAAAAACAAAGATTCCTCAATTGCTCCACTTTTTGTGTGACCAAACTTATATTATTGCCAGATTGAATCATGCTAGCATTGTACGCTTCTTCTCCATCAGCTATTGGAATAATGGCCTTGGAGGAATTTGACCAAAACCATTTGTGCGGAGCCACTAATAATTATGCAGATATTCCATCTCTACTACAACAAGAAGAGGTTGCCGAGCTTGATCAATCTCCTCCGTCCGCCGCGATTACCGACACCGACCCCGCGATCATTAAGAAGCTTAGTCACAATGCTAGCGAGCGTGATCGTCGGAAGAAGATCAACGGCTTGTATTCCACTCTTCGATCTCTGCTTCCGGCTGCAGATCAAATGGTACCATATCCCATTTCTATGTTGACCAGTTCTAATAATAATCTAATGGCCTAGTTAATATGTTCTAAAGTATCCATTTGGAATTTTCCTTAATACATGGGGAACTTTTCCAAAGTGACTGTGTCAGAAAATGAAAGTAGATAAATGAATTTTTTATTTTCACACTTGGCAACCCAATGCATTGTAGAGTGTAAAAGTGGATCGCGCGGAATCATTCCAAAGTCATTTTTGCATATTAAAATTAAGGAAAGTCATGATTTCACTAATAAAGGAAAAATTGATAATGTTTGATTTTACAATATGCTTGAGGGGAAAAAAAAAAAGTGTAATACTGTTTTACTAGAACTCATTTTCATGTAACTGAGTATTTCTAACATTTGACTATTTAATGCAGAAAAAACAAAGTTATCCGGCAAGTGTTTCGCGGACGCTAAAATACATACCGGAGCTAGAAAACCAAGTGCAAGCACTGATTCAGAAGAAGGAGGAGCTTTTGTCAAACATTTCAAGAAAAGTGGACTTAATTTATCATGAAAGGCAGAAGAAAAGCTCGGCTTGGAGATCATTATCTGCTGTTTCCGCCGCTAGACTTAACGACAGAGAAGTAGTACTTCAGATTTCGACATTTAAGGACCAAGAGACTCCATTGTCACATATTTTGCTTGACTTAGAGGAAGATGGATTTTCACTGCTAAATGCTACTTCTCACGAGTCCTTTGGAGGAAGGGTCTTCTGTAGTGTACATCTTCAGGTAATTTTTTTGTTCTCTTTCGACGTGGTCTCGATTTCTTTCTCGGTACAAAACCCACATAAAAAGTTCCTTAACTTACTCTTGATCCAATTTGATCTGATCTTTGCTTTATTTCCTTGGTTTATGCAGGTTGAAAGAACTTACATAAAGCATTACAATTTCAGTAACAATTTCCTTTCAACGTATTAAACGTGAGAAGGCCATTTTCCTGGTTAGAGAGAGAGAGAGAGAGAGAGAGAGAGAGAGAGAGAGAGAGAGAGAGAGAGAGAGAGAGTGAGAGTGTGTGTGCGGTGTTTTGAATCTCTATGTGGGTTATTTTCTAGCTTGAATTATCTTTACAGTAATTGGGGATCAAAAGAAATGACCTTGTGTTGTATTTTATTAGAGAAAGTGTGAATCAGGAACTTGATTGGGTTCCAAAAGAAGTGGATTGAGGCACTCTCAATCTAAGCGTTGCATTTTTTTTAGGGGACTTAAATGTTGTATTTTGTTGTAACTGGTAGTAAGCTTTGGAAATCAAAGGAAGCAATATTGGGTATTTTTCAGTTAAAAATAAATAATAAACCAGGGGAAACAGACAAAACAATACTCAATTCTAAAGGAAAAAGAGGACATAAGTGAATATCTGAATGTACTCTTCTATATAAATGAATTGCTCAGGATACAAGGGTGAACATCGGGTGGATTGAGTGGGTTTTTGGGATTTTTCAACCCACCCAAAGAAGTCTAGATGGGTTGAAAAAAGGAAAGGAAAAAAAAAAAAAATCTTACAATTCAACCACAAAGCAAAGATATAACAAAAAAAGGAAATAAAACTCTAATTGCTTGAATTGCCAGAATAATGTTAATATCTCGAGGTTGCTCGAAATAAATAATTGTTTTTTTTTTTTTTTTTTTTTTTTTGGAGAATCTCATTAAGGAAAGCGTCATTCACACCTAATTGCTTGATCAACCATCCTCTTGCTAACACAATAAAGAGAACAATTTGAATGGTGGCTCACAGCGTTGAATGTCTCTATGAAAGCCTGCGCTCTTAAAGTACCCTTTTGGGAAGTAAATTATTCCTTGTGTCTAGAAATGGTTCCATCAAGATTCTTCTAGAGTTCGTAGACCCACTAGCAACCAATTATAGGCCTATAATGTGGTCGAGAAAACACAATTGCAATTCTTCATTATAGCATTATATTATACTCCTCAAACCATGGCTTGGCTCCACTACTTAGATTTGAAAGGTCTGCTTTTACACATGAGTGTTATAACACTTTCTGTAATACTGATAATTAGTTGTATTTTCAAATTCAGCAACCAATAAATAATTGTGCTGGAAAGTAATGCATTACTTAGATTGTTAAGCGTTCTCCATGGAAGAAGGCTCAGTTGAGCTTGAATAAATGACCATGCCAACCTTAGGCCTAAAAATACGCGTCTTTGATCGAGAAACTATGGAGTGAGCATTCTCTTGTGGATGAGGGACCGTTCGACCAATAACTGTTTTAGGTGAAAGTGGCTACAATGGAGATGGTGAATCAGTGACAACAAGGTTTTGCTACAATGGAGATGTTTATTATTATTATTTTTCAAGTTTCCTTTTCTTTAAATCTCAAATATTTTTTTTAGGAACTTTCATGATTTTGACTCGTCTGATTGTTAAAACTAGTCGCACCTTAAGTTTATCACTTTTGGATTTTTTATGTTGCATATTCGGATTAGTGAGGACTGATTTAATTCGTATCAAAGAAATCCGAAGTTTCCTTTTTGGCTGCAGATTTGTGTCTCAGATGTATAGCAAGATACAAAAACCATCAGTCAGAGCAAGTCAATGCTGACAAACACAGATTCATGGAGGCAGATGAAGTGAAGTGCAACACAATTAAGGCATTTTCCAAGATTCCAAAGGGTTCATGATTTTGAACATTTGGCTACGGATTTGGAGTTGATTTTGCACCATGGCTTGCACTATAAATAGACCCTTAGACATAAGGAGTCACTTAATTGAGATGTTCATTCTAATTCTGTGTGTGCGCAAGAGCATTTCCTTGTGAGAGAAAACAAGAGCAAGTTAGACTTAGGGCCCGTTTAGTTCGCTGATTCGAGTTGTGATGTGACTCTATGTGAGAACTTTTTACTATAACAAAAAAGTTAAGAGTGATTGTTTCTGAAAGCTTTTTATTGTAGCAAAACTCGAATTCTATACTCGAATCGGTAAAATGAACGGGGCCATTACTCTCTCAAGACCTTGTCTTAGGACATTTCACTTAGAGTAGATTAGTTGGACTAAACTTGAGTACGTAGGCTTAGTAGGTTATTTGGATAGAAGATGAGTCTAGCAAGTGGGAGGCTTCTAGAAATTACGGGAAGACTTCCTCGGTTTAGGAGTGATGAGATATGACTCATAATTTCATGTACCTTGGAACTGTAATTCTTAGTGACTTCACGAGTTTAGGAGTGGTGGAGCGTTAGGATACAATTCATAATTCCATTTCTCTTGTAACGCTAATTCATTGGTAAGTGTCTCGCCTTTTGAGCTGTTGCGCACATGTCCCGTTCATTTTATCGATTCGAGTTTAGAATTCAAATTTTACTGCAGTAAAAAGTTTTCAGAAACAGTTACATCTAATTTTTTTACTACAGTAAAAAACTCTTACATAAAATCACATCTCAACTCGAATTAAAAACTCGAATTAACGAACTAAACAGACCATAAATTATCACATCTTGCGTTCATTTGTCTTTAGTGATTATTTTGGTTATCGTTATTGAAAATTGTTTAATATCTGACCAAGCAGATATGGTTTTCTGTTATATTTCGGTAATCTATTTAGACATCTTTTTACAAATTCATCAAAACAAACAGAAAATTTTAACGCATCTAGTACACTGAGTTGCACGTTTTCTTAAAATTTTCCCCTTGTTTTATTCCTGTCGTCTTCTAGCTGAGGGGGAGGAAATAACCAAATTAAATATCCATTGATGGATACAAGTGCATGTTCGGTATACTTCTCACACTAATACCCAAAATAATAAAATAAAAATCCATAAAAAACTACCGGGAATCTAAAATTTTAAACAAAGTATTAGAGTGTTCACACTATATGCCCATTTATACTCTTCAATTCAAAATTAATTAGGGAATCAAAGGTAGTTCTTCCAAAGCTTTAATAATTTATTTTTGATGTAAGAAATTCTAACTGAAAGTTTGGTCAAGAAAAAGAATGTCAAGTGCGCATATAATGGGCGAGGATGAAGTAGAAGGTCAGCATGGCACGCGACGTGGAGATATTCCACGTGCCAAGCCTATAAAGGCCTCGTGTTCTCCATAATCGCCACAGGACTTCCAAACTTGTTCAATTGTTTAATTGGAGCAAAATTCTGTATCTTTCCCGTACGTACTTTGGTCGAGAAATTAAGATTCTGTTCATTTTATTGATTCGAGTTTATAATTTTAGTTTTATAATAATAAAAAACTCTTAAAAACAGTCACATTTAATTTTTTTACAATAATAAAAAGTTTTCACATAAAATCATATCTCAACTCAAATTAAAAACTCGAATCAGCGAACTAAACGAGCTCTAAAGTAACGTCAACTTTCTGTGGATAAGGACCAGATATTAATTATTATTTTAGTAACCAATTGTTTTGGAAGAGAGTTTTTTTAAGTGTTATGAAAGGAATCAAGTTGTTACGGATTGGTCTTCTGCCCTGTTGACAACACCATATATGGGGAGCAAATTTTTTTTTTTTTTTTTTTTTTACTTTATGTGTCTAGAAGGTTTAACTTATTATTTTATATGTGATAAATTTCTTTTGTGGCTTAGAAGATTTGATTAATATCAGTTTTTAAGTTTGTTTTAAAATATGTGGTAGGAAACCCATGATAGAAGCTCCGGATGAGTATGCATCAACGACTTATTAATTAATCATTGTGAAGGCAATATTATCAATATGGAGGTGGATCGGTCTCATTGGTCCTTCCAATATGATTAAAATTTAGTAAACCAAATGCTATACAAGAAGTGAATATGACAAAACAATAATCTTGGGTGAATATTGAAGGTCAGAAAAGGAAATGCAAATCATTCTAAAATTCAAAATCCTTCCACTGAGGATCAACAATCAGATTCCTCACAAGGATATATAAAGATTGCAGTATTAGGTTATTGGAATAACCTGATGAAACTTAACCAATTGAGAAAATTGCACAAAAACATTGTGAACAAACAATCTTATACATACATACATACATACATACATACATATATATATATATACATACATATATACATATATATATAGAGAGAGACACACACACACCCACACTTAAGGTTCGAAGGTAAAGGGATATAAGTTAACAGAGTAGTTATGTGTTTTCTCCAACACTGCTCATGTGTAGTTTGCTTTTTGTAATAAAGTACATTTTTTTTTCTATTTTAATGATTTTTTTTTTGTTTTTTTATTGTGCTCTTTTGACGGGAACCCATAACTTAAGGTAATTCAAACACCCACTAAACACCAATTGAGCTAGCCTCAATTGGCAATTTTTTTTCTTCTTATTCATAAACAAGCATTATAGTAATTTTTATATAAATAAAAACCAGACAATATGTGTACAAAAAAAAATGTCATTAAACAATTATGGACGATTAGGTTACTATTATTAAATGATGGTTTTTCCTTTTTCATGTTTGTATATATACATGTCATGATCATCTAATTTCTTATAGCGAACTAAGCCTAAGACGCAAAACTGAAATTAGCCCCACAAAAATGCTAGCCTTATCACCAACGTTGTTTTCGACAAATGTTCCATATTGGCCCTTAGAGGAACCCGTAGGCCATGATAACCAAAACTATTTGTACAGAGACATATCAGAGCCTGCTAATTCCGATCAATCAGTATTTCTTAACAGCTTCCCCACTCCGCCGCCATCCGATCAAAGATCGCGGGCTGAGCTCGATTGTTTGGCTACGCCAACGACCACGAAAGCTATTAGCAGTGATCTCATCATGGTCGTCAAGAAGCTTAACCACAATGCTAGCGAGCGCGATCGCCGCAAGAAGATTAACCACTTGTACTCCTCTCTTCGCGCGCTACTTCCGGCTTCTGATCACACGGTACTTTATTTAATCACCTATCGGTTTCTCTTAGAGTTTCTTAGGCCCTGTTCATTTCACCGATTTAAGTTTAGAATTTGAGTTTTGCTACAGTAAAAAACTCTCAGAAACAGTCATATTTAACTTTTTTGCTACAGTAAAAAACACTCACATAAAATCTCATCTCGACTTAAATTAAAAACTTGAATTAGCGAACTAAACAGGCCCTTAAATGATTTGTTTTGTATGGGGGTTGTCAATATATAGAATTTCTTTTTTTTTTTTTTTTTTTTTTAGGAAGAGAAGGATGACCTTAATAGATCAGTAACAATTATGGCAACAGAAGAATATTTATACATTAGTTTCTATTTAAATGTAAGAGATAGTACATATAATAAACAAATAACTTATTTTCTGGATATAGTTGCTGTAAAATTCAACACACTTTCAATACTAGGTTTTGACAAATTAACGTACGGTTTTTGAGCAGAAAAAAATGAGCATTCCGGGAACAGTTTCGCGTGTTCTAAAATACATTCCTGAGCTACAACAAGAAGTGGAGGGGCTGATTCAAAAGAGGGAAGCACTTTTATCGATGACTAAATCAAAGCAGCAAGAGAATCTCCAAGTTCATCAAGAAATTAATTACCAAACGAAAAGCACAACTAGAACCCCATTATCTTCTGTTTCAGCAAGTCAACTCAATAATAAAGAAGTTTTATTACAAATTTCCGCATTTAAGCTTAACAAGGACCCGTTATCGGAGATATTGCATAATTTGGAGGAGGATGGGCTTTCAGTGCTAAATGCCTCTTCGTTTGAGTCCTTTGATGGGAGGATATTCTATAATTTACATCTTCAGGTATATTTTTTTCAATTTTGGGACCATTTAAAATATATATTGTTTTATTTATGTATATTTCTAATATATTATTTTTCTTTTTCTTTATGTATTTTCGATTGTGAATATATATATATATATATATATATATATATATATAGGTGGAAGGACCTTATAACGTCGAATGTGGGACTCTAGGAGGAAAGTTTGTGTCTTTGTATGACGATAAGAAAGAGTTGCTTCTTTGAAGTTCTCATTTCAATGTAACTTTTTTTAAAGGTTTTATGAGATATTGTGAATTAATATTTTACCATGCAAACTTATTTGGAAGTTTTTAATCATTAAAGTAATTGTGGTCACTAGTCAAGTTGATGTTGCGCCAATGACATCACTGGGCCGATGGGCCAGAGTTGGCGATGGGATAGAACCAACGGGCTAGAGTTGACACCGGGATTGACTGCCTTGATTTGTAGCGCCATTTCTTGTTCTTGGAGGCATGATCATAGATTACTTCTTAGTTGTCTGGGGCTAAACCCGTTAACTAGAGATTCTGGGTTCGAGTCTCCAGTGGAGTCGTCAATTGTTGACGGTAGAATTTCGTCAACAAGATTACGCCGGGTCACCTCTCAATATTCCGTTAGGTTACCGGCCTAAAATTGGTATATATTTGGGTTAGTGCTGCAATATGTTTTTGTTTGGAAAGAATATGGTGAGAAGTGTAATAATAGTCCTTCAAGGAAAGTAAAAACACAAATTTTATAGTGGTTCACTTTGTAAGAAAGAGCTACATCCACTGTATTTTGTATTTCTCTTTGGTTTTTCTCAGATTACATCAGATCACCCCCCCTCTCTTTATAGCCCGTGGATTACATATGGATCCCCTTTTAGACGGACTGTCACAGGGATTTTAATGATGACTTTTCTCAAGTGGCCTACTATCCCATTTGCTTAGACTGTAGCCTGTCAACGCCTTCTGCACTATTCACTTACCCATTTCATTTACTATTGCGGCTCTAGGGATCTTCTTCGATTTCATTGGTCCTTTACAGGCGGTTTATGGGCAAGCAATCATTTCCTGTGTTGCTGACCTTTTCCAAGTCCAGACGCAATCTGGGGATTTTCCCTTATCAGGGGCCTTTTTGGGGACGTGGACCCATATTCATGCGGTCTGCTCCCTGTGCCTACACAATACAAAGCCAGGCGCAGGCTCTCCATCGGTCGACCCTATCATGGTACCTCTGATGCGAACAAGTCACGTAGGCCTCGACTGTATATAGCGTCGACGGTCTTATGAGTCACCCCATACAATCAGCCATTTCACTATATGGAGTTTCAGGCGTCGATAGCTATCTGACGTGGCTAACACATGGCCACGTAGGGCACAATCGTTGTCCGACGTGTCAGCGCATATTTTTCCACACAACAGCTTATTTGCGTGATTCAAAACAAAGTTAATAACGATGTTGAATTGATTAAGAGATTAATCAAATTAAATATTAATTATTAGTGTTTTGATTATGTAAGTCAATATTTCTTTGGAATGACTTGATGGAGTTTTCTCAGATATTATTTTTAGTCTCTCGGGTTTTTTTTTTTTTTTTTTTTATGAAAATCGAGTGAAAGGTTGATAAAAAAAAAGATGAGCTGCTAACATGACAAATCAATAGTTTAGAGATAAATTGACTTACAATCATATTAGTTTTTAGGGCGTTTAAAAATTAATAAGTATGGTACATCATCATTGTCTTAGTATTATGACGGAGGAGGTGTTTTGAATGATTTTTATGTTCAAAATAAGAGTGAGATGAAACCATTTTTAAAATTTAAAAATATGCTAGAGTACATATTTCAAATTGTAAAGGATATTTATGAAATTAGTGCATATCAAATTATTTCCAAAAAATATCCTCAAGAAAAAAAAAATCAACTACTAGAATAGGGAATCCCACTTTTTAAAGAAAGTATTAGAGTATTCTCACCATGCCTACAAACATAAAAGCAACAACTGCCGAATGAAGAAAATATACCTATTAATAATTTGTTAGGACTTTTTTTGGTTGTCCTTGTAAACATAGACCACCAGTAATCATTTATTTTTTAATCATCAGATCTATATCAGAAATGTCTGTTTTGCATACTTTTTTAATATGATATGTTCTACGTACTTTTTTAATATGATGTAATTTTGATCAGATCTAACAATAAAAAACTGAAAATACCGATAGGATGGACAACCTGAGAAACTCCCTAATTTATTTAGGTTTATGAAAATTCTAACAGAATATGTCAAATTAATTATTAATTACTAGAGTTTCGGTTATTTAGGTTCATGAATTCTCTAGAATGACTTAATGAAGTTTTCTAAGATATTTTTTAAGTCTCTCGGGGATGAACTTTTTATAAAATCTGGGTGTCAGATTGACACAAATTTAATAATTTACGGACAGACTGACTTACAATCATATTAGTTTGGAGGAAATTTAAGAAATTATAAGTAGTGTTACGTCATCATTCTGTTAGTATTATATAGATGGAGGAGGTGTTTTGAATGATTTTTTTTTTTTTTAAATTTAGGAGTGAAATTAACCATTTTGAAAAATTAAAAATATGTTAAACTAGGTACATATTTCAACCTTTGAAGTTTGAAGCGTATTTATGAAATTAGTGCATATCACATTAATTCCTAACAATATCCTTACAAAAAAAACAACTACTAGACTGGGGAATCTAACTTTTTAAAGAAAATATTACTGTATCCACGCTATGCCTACAAACATAAAAGCAACAAACTACCGACTGAGGGAACCCAAAGCATTTAATAGTTTATTTAGGTTTATGAAAATTCTAATAGAATAGGCAATATAAAGAATGTCAAAAAAGATTTAAGTTTCGTTTATTTTGCCGATTCGAGTTTTTAATTTTAGATTTTATAATTAAAAACTCTAAAAAAATATCACATCTAATTTTTTTATTACAGATAAATTTTTTTAAAAATATCACATCTTAACTTAAATTAAAATCTCAAATTCACAAAGTGAATGAGGCCTTAGTACATATTTTGTCGAGGAGATTTGAGGATGCGGAAAGAGGGTTGACATGGCACGTGACGTGGACTTAATCCACACGCACGTTAGTGGCAAAGACTATAAAGGCCACGTGTTCTCCATACTAGCCACGGGCAATCTGAACTTCTAATCCTTTGCAGTCTATTCCTTGCACACGTTAATAATAAAGAAGTTTACAATATAAAAAATACATGATACAGAGTGAGACAAACTTTTGTTAGGTCCACCACGCTTTGTTAAGGCATAGTTTGATATGTTAGGGACTAAACTAGATCTCTTAAAGAATAAACTATAATAGTTATGTGGTGATCATGGGGTTTGTAGTTGATAGAGATTAAAGTATTAACAATTGGTCTTGCTACGTCAACTATTTGAAGAAGAAATTTTTGTGTAAATGTTTTAATCGCTATTTAATTAATTTCTTTTTGCGGCTTAGATTTTGCAAGTTGTTCTCTTAGTTTCGTTATTACATTAATTCTTGTTAATTAAGACTTCGCGGACTACTTAATAAACTAGTTGTGATATTCTTTTTTTGCTGAATAGTAGTGATTTTCTTTTGGTCTAGGGTTAAAATGCATGATGAGTTTTTATCTCTCTACCTATACTAGTTAAAGAACATGTGCTACACACATTGACAGTAGTCGTGTATTAAGTTTTAACTACCGTATTATTTTTAAAAGCATATAAAAGTCTGTAAAGAAATTAAAATTAAAAAAATTAAGTTTCAGGGCAAGTAGTAAAAATAAAAAATAAAAAAAAACTAAAATGAAGGGAAAAAACTTTGGATAGAAAAAAAACCTGTTGTGACACTATTATTGCTCACGTGTTTTTGACCAAAATAACATCATTTTGGTCGAAGAAGTACGTGAACAGTAAATGAGTTTCTATGAAAAGGAAAAAAAAAAGAAAAAAAAGAAAAAATGAGCCGTGAAAACATTATTTATAAGGGGTGATTTTCGACCAAAACTACGCCGTTTTGGTCAAAAATAGTGAAGCCTATTAATATTTTTATATATTATTATTGTTATAGTAAATAAGAATGCACGGTGTTTGCAAAACGCTTATGATCAAAAGTTTTTTTTTTTTTAACTTTTTCTTTTAATTTTTCCTTACTTCTTTTTTCCCTTGTTATCTTTTCTTCCCCTATTATACAATTTTATTCTTGCTTTTCTCTAAATATTGCCCTCATAAATATTTTTTCTCATATTTATATTGAAATAAATTACTTTCATATATGATGTATGATCTGATCTACACTTACATATATTTAACGGATTCTCCCCATGAACAAAACATTTTATCTATTATTCTTTTTTGTTTATTATTCTTTCTTTTTTTTTTATCCCTTTCATTTTTCACTATTGCTTAATTTTCCCTACTGTACATTTTTTTCCCCTTTTCTCAAGTAAGGCTCTCATAAATATTTTACTCTAAAAAACAACCCGTTTTTCAACAGATGTCCTAAAATGATTAAACATTTCACCTTTTTTTTTTCTTTTGTTTTTAGTCCTCCCTTCTTTTTTATTTACATCTTTTTGGTCCATTACATTTGTTTCCTCACTTTTCTAATTTTTTTTTTTCCTGAGAAAATCCATGTTACATTATTAAAGTAGAATGGGTTTCTACAAAATATTAAATTTTTCTATAGTCTCACGAGCATACGAGCGTGGTTTAAATTAGTATATGTAAAAAATACTGACGAACTCCGGGGGACCACTTGCAAATTAAAAAACTAAATGAAAAAATTGAAATACAAAAGAACCTACAAAGAAATATGTACATAACCGATTAAGTAAATCAAAACTATCAAATCTCACAAATCAAATTAAAGAATTTGTAATTTGTAAATAAATACAATTAAGTTCAAACTATTGCTAAGGATAACCATATAAAAAGTCAACATTTGTTATTTTTCTTTTTGAATATATTACGAGAGGAAATAGTAAGATGAAAAGACAAAGGTTTAACATGATTAGGCAAGATGCCTACATTCATATATTAAGAAAAGACAGAAAACTCATAATAATAAGGAAAATGAGTTCCATATTAATATAAATAGATCATACTTGAATTAATTTGGTAACTTAGTCATGACTATCAATTTTCATGAAATCAAAAGATTTCTTAAATTTAATATAAATACAAGTGAGTTCAAACATTGCTATCTACAACATTAGGTTTACCTAATATTGCCATGCTCGGATATATAGATACCAGTTTTCTTATATATGTACACGCTTCCAAGACAGTGGAACCATATATAGGGCCTGTTGAATATTGTTGGATATTTCTTTTACAAATGATTGATCAATTCTCAATTTTTTGAACTTTTTGAGTAAGGATATTTGAATTGCAGAGATCTCATTATTGAGATGGGTGTGGAATTACTTCTAGGATAATATCCGCGTAATGTTTAAATTCTTCATGAATAAGGATTACGAGAGGCATATTAAAATGAAATTCATACACATAAAAAGCCAGGATTATTGTAGAAAACTAGGAGCTCAAATTTTATTTTATTTTTTTGGAAGAGCTGCAGTGTTTATTTCATAGAAATATGAGTGAAAAAATACTCTTGGATACGAAAGGTATTCCTCTAGAAAATGTATTTAGTTTGTTTTTCAACAGTATAGTACAATACAACAAAAATATATTGCGCGTATAACAGAGTATTTCTGTAATTTGATAATGGTTTAAAATAGTGAAGTTATAATCCATAGTGTGGAAGTTGAAATGTCTTTTTCTGTTTTGCTAGCATTTCAGAAATTTAGCCTTTTATGCTTAAATAACCAAACAAAGACGATTGCAAAAAAATTATTAAACAATTATAGATGATTAGGTAACTAATGATCATGTTTGTATATAAACAAATCATGATCATCTCACTTTCTTGGCAAACGTAGTCTCAGACTCAAAACTTTAAATTAGTAGCCCCCCACAAAAATGCTAGCGTTATCTCCTCCTTCGTTTTCGACAAATATTGCATATTGGCCCCTAGAGGATACCCTAGGCCATGATGATCAAAATTATTTCTACAGAGACGTAGAGCCTGCTAATTCAGATCAATCAGTATTTCTTAACAGCTTCCCAATGACACTAGTAACGTCCGATCAGCGATCGCGGGCTGAGCTTGATTGGTTGGCATCGCCGACGACCACGACAGGCGCTATTAGCAGGGATCTCAGCATGGCTGTCAGGAAGCTCAACCACAATGTTAGCGAGCGCGATCGCCGCAAGAAGATTAACCACTTGTACTCCTCTCTTCGTGCGTTGCTTCCAGCTTCGGATCACACGGTACTGAATTACATAAACTGTCTTTTTTCTTGTATACCTTTTCTCCTTTCGTGGTGTTTCAATGAATGAATTGTGCTAATTCAGTTGGGAGATTGAACTGGTTTTAAAGGATTTATTACGTCGTCCGGGCTAGTGATCTTTTGAGAATTAGGCAAAAGGGATTTAAAATATATAGAAACTCGCAGAAAAGGATGATTATTCAGATTAATCAGCCATAATGGTATCTAAACTTGTATGACTTCATTCACGACGGAAAGGAAAAAAGAAAAGAAAGAAAATAACTTTTGTTAAGAGTTGAAATTATGAGAGTAATTATAAGAGTTCTTAAGAGTCATTTATTCCCTCTGACCACTAAATTACTAGCTCGAATAGTATGGCTATTGACTTTGAGGTGTCTAGTTTGATTAATTTGTTGTGTTATAGAGAGCAATTAGATGCCTCGTTAATGTTGATCTTAATAGTCAGCGACGGAGCCACAGAACCAGGATTTAATTTCAGCAGGGGTACAAATAAAACCAAAAATTATATACAAAAATAAAAAAATAAACTTCATTTATGCTTAATAATAAAATTTTATTATTTTCACAAAAATAATTAATAGGATTTATTACGTTATCAATATATTACAACTTTTCTCAACAAGTTGTAATATTTTTCTTTCGCGTTAGTATTATTTTTCTCAAATTTTAAGATTGGTGATTCAATTTTAGATACTTCTATATAGCCTTTTTTTTTTTTTTTTTTGATAAAACTTCTATATAACCTTTAGATATGTAAAACTCAAGAAGAACATTTGACAAGGCAAAAGTAGTTTATTAAACGTATTTTAATATAATAGTATTGTTGTTCTTGTTTAGTCTTTTATCACTTTTTATCACGTTTTGATATAAGATTTGTTGAAACAAATGAAAGTAGGAACGTGAAATAATAAAAGACTCAGGAGAAATGATTTCGTGGTTTGGTAACCACCTATTCTGTGGGGTCACACCCTATATGATAAATAATCTACTAAGAACTCAATTTACAACTCAACAAGGACTTAAACTCCTCAAGACTCACTTGCAAGACAAGACGCGTATGAACTGTAATTTTCTAATGGGCTTGATTAGCAAGATCATTTCGACTTACAATGTTAAAATCCCTTCAACTAAATTTCTCTTTCGAAAAACTCTCAAACCCTTCTCATAAAGAATTATAAAAATTACAAACGATCAACCTTATCTCTCAAACCCAGAAAAATTGATTACAAGGCATACATAAAAAAGAGGACTGAATTTGTGTTGAGCTTTTGACAAATATTTGAAATTTTATAAAAAAGAGTGTTTGACCGGACTTTTATGGAATGTGGATTAGAGAGGAGTTAACAACTTAAAACTGTAGAGAGGGCACCAAGAGAAATGTTAGTCGAAAGTAAAATGAAATAGAAAATTCAGTAGGAGTATGTGCTCCCACAGCTTCCCTCTATTTGGCTCTGTGCATGTCAATAATATAAGAAATTTTTAATAGTATTATAGTATTTTTTGAATTTGGGGTGGGGTATTCGAACTCTTCATGTTATGATAGAATCACGTTTAGAATTACCGCTATATTATACCCATAATCATACACCCAGAGTATGATGCTATGATTAAGAATTAGCATGCTTTCTTTAATATTTTTACTATAATTTATCACAGAAAAAGTTGAGCATTCCAGCTACAGTTTCACGCGTGGTAAAATACATACCAGAACTACAACAAGAAGTTGAGGGACTGATTCGAAAGAGGGAAGAGCTTTTATCAATAACTAATTCAAGGCAGCTCCAAGTTGGTCAAGAAATTAAGAACCAAATAAAAAGCATATCTCGAACTTCATTATCTTCTGTTTCAGCTAGTCAACTTAATAATAAAGACGTTGCGGTTCAAATTTCCACATTGAAGGCCGACAAAAATTACACATTATCTGAAATATTACATAATTTGGAGGAAGATGGACTTTCAGTGCTAAACATCTCGTCCTTTGAGTCCTCTTGTGGGAGGGTATTCCACAATTTACATCTCCAGGTATTTTCTCTTAATTTTTAAACTATTTTTTGTAAAGTAAGTGACTCAAATTAATTTTGAGAAATTTTACTATTTTGTATTTCTTGGGTAAGTTACTATTTTCTGTTTTTAGATAAAGATTATAAAGAGTCTATAAATAAGTGCTTTGCGACTTTATGTGTGCTCAGAGAAAAGTGCATCCTTTTAAGAGAAATAGAGAAAAGTGAGGAGAGAGATAGACAAAAGGTGTAAAGAGTTTTGAGTAGAGAAATAAAGTGAAAAAGTTTGTTGAGTATGTAATTATGAAATTGTTAGTGAATTTTTCTCCCTCTTCTATTTGTTTAAGTTTGGCTCCTAAATTGAAATATAGTGTTATGAATGAAACATCTCATTCTAAGTTATGGAAGAAAATAAAAGACGTTTATGCATCGGAATCCCTAACAAATAGATTAAATTTGAAGAAGCAATTGTATGAGTTGAAGATGGATGAGGAAGCTGATGTTGTGGATCATATAAATAATTTTAATAAGTGCATAACTCAATTGTTAAGTGTAGATGTCAAAATTGATGAGGAAGATAAAGCGGTAATTTTGTTGGCCTCCCTACCCAAATCATATGAGATTTTAGTGACTACACTTTTAGTTGGAAAGATGACATTGACTGTAAATTAGGTGTCGACTGCTTTGTTGGAGACTGCAAATATGAAAAGCCTAGTGTTACGTCTCATACTAAACAAGTTTTAGTGGCACAGTTAGATTCGAATAGGGGTAGGAGCAAGTCACGAGAGAGATGTTATAATAAAAGAGATGATCGTTTCCAATCTTACCCAAGGAAGGATATTGTGTGCTATTATTGTCATAAGAAGGGACATATGAGGAGAAACTGTGAAGAACTGACGAAGCATCTAGAACAAAGAAGAAAGCAAGAACCCTAAGAGATTTTAGATTCTACAAATGTTGTTGGTGATATGTATGATAGTAAAGATGATGTTTATTCTGTTTTTGCTAATGAAAATATTTCTCTCTTGGATCTTGGATTCTGGATGCTCATTTCATATGTGTCCACATAAAGAGTGGTTTGATTTTTATAAGCCCTGTGATGCTGGTACTTTGTTGATGGCTAATAATTCTAGTGCTAATGTTGTTGGAATAGGTACAGTGAAAGTGAAGATGTTGATGGAGTTGTGAGGACATTGACAAATGTTAGGCATGTTTTTCAACTAAGGAGAAGTTTGATTTCTTTGGAAGCTTTGGACACTTTGGGTTGTGAGTACTATGCAAAGAGTGGTTTTATGCAAGTCAACAGAGGTGATTTAGTAGCCATCAAGGGTGAAAAAGTAAAAAACTTGTATAAGCTTATTGGAACCACAGTTGTAGGTGGAGCTATAAAGGAGGAACTATGCCAAGAAGAGTCTTCTTCGGTTATGAAAGAAGTTGTAGGAGTAAAATGGTGCAACAAGATGTGGATAATAGTTGAAGACAATAAAGACAAGATGGTGAAGACTTGTGGCAGTGAAGATGCTTTGAAGAAGAAGAAGACAATTCCTCATGTCAAGTTTGATAAGAGTTTGAATTTGGCACATGTTTATTCTTGTTAAAGTTTGCATCGTCGGTGCTATAAGGATTGTTGAGATTGAATATCCAATTGAGTGAGTTGAGAGAATTTGAGTCAAGGCGGAGATTGTTAGATAACTGACTGAAATTGGTTTTGGAAAAATTACTATTTTGTGTTTTTGGGTAAGTTATTGTTTTCAGTTTTTTGGCAAGGGATATTTTATGATTTATTAAGAGTCTATAAATAAATGTTTTGTATAAGGCTTTACGTGTGTACTCAGAGAAAAATGTGCCTAGAGAAAAAGTGAGAAAGTTTGTTGAGTGCGTAATTCTGAAACTGTTAGTGAATATTTCTCCATCTTCCGTAGACGTAGAAAATTTTTCAAATCACCTAAATCTTTATTTTCTCTATTTTTCTGTTATTTTTATTTCAGTTTATTTTTTCTACTGCGTGCGTGTATAGGTGTATTTTTCCCCAACAATTTCTTATCCATCAATATGCAAACTTCCATACACGTTATATAATATATGGGTAAAATCCCAAATAATATCATATCTTTTTAATAATATTAAAATGATATTCTAAAATTTTTTTGGACATAAAATATCCTTTATACTCTTTTAGTTAATTTGTTTTAGAATTACTTTTGTTAGAGATAACTGATTAGTTATGTTGTTATTAGTCAGTTAGATTAGTGGACACGTGTCAGTAAGGCATTGGTCTTTGTTGTAATTAGTTAGAGCTTAGTTGAGCTATTTAAGATGTTACTGTACAGTTTATTCAGTAATGAAAATAGATCAATTTCATTCATTAGAAAATATCTCTTTCTTCTTTCCCTGAAACTCAATATGGTATCAGAGCCTTTAGATTTTGGAGAGAGTGGTTCCGTGTCCGCCATGGCTGAAGCTTCCATTTCTTCTGTTCGCTTCAGTCCTATTTCTTTTAGCCATTCGATCTCGATTCGACTTGATCATTCTAATTTTCTTCCGTGGAGAAAATTGGCCCTTTCGACGATTCGAGGGCATAAGCTGTTGGATTCCATCTCCGATTCGAGTTCTCCGCCATTGAAGTTTCTTAGTGTCACAGATGAAGTCGCAGGACGGATTAATCAAGATTTCTTGAACTGGGAGCAACAAGATCAACTGTTGGTGTCGTGGCTGCTCTCTTCCATGTCCGAGACGGTTCTTGCTAGGGTTATTGATTGTGAAACTTCAGTACAAGTTTGGTACACTCTGAATCTTTATTATGCTGCTCAAATTCGTGCCAAAATTTCTCAATATAAAACTCAACTAAAAAATATCAAGAAGACTTCTTTGACGATGAATGATTATTTGTTGAAAATTCATCATTGTGTGAGTATGTTAAATTTAGTTGGCCATCCTGTTCCTTCTAAAGAGCATCTTGAAGCAATCTTTAAAGGATTATCCTCTGAGTATGATACTTTTGTTCTTACGGTAGAAGCTCGAAATGATGCTTTCACTGTTGAAGAAATTGAGTATCTTCTTCTTTCACAAGAGGCTCGAATTAAGAAAAATCACAAGTCTCTTGACTCGACTCAAGCTAATTTGGCTTCCTCTCATTTGAATCAAGAGAACAAAAAGAGGTTCAATTCTGGTTTTTCACCACAATTTGGGAATAATTTTCCTCGTGGAAATTTTCGGCCTCAATTCTTGGTAATTTTCAATCTCGAGGTGGAGGCAATCCAGGTAGAGGTCGAGGACGTCACAATGGAGGTGGTCGTGGTTCTTGGTCTTCTAACAGACCACAATGTCAATTGTGTGGCCGTACTGGACATGTTGTAATTGACTGCTATTACAGGTTTGATCATTCTTTCCACGGACCTTCTCAATTTCAACGTGGACAGAGACCTCCTTTCAACCCTACTGCTAATGTTGCCACCACCACTTCAAATCCATTTGTGGATTCTACCTCTGCTCAAGCTTTTGTTGCCACTCCTGAAACAGTTGCAGATCCAAGCTGGTACCTTGATTCAGGAGCATCTAGTCACGTTACTTCAAATCCAGACAACCTGATGCAAATGATAGACTATTTCAGACTTGAGCAAGTCTATGTTGGAAATGGTAAGGGCCTTGCCATTAAGCATATTGGTCAGTCTAGCTTTGTGTCTCCTTATTCCTCTAAAATTCTTTCCTTAAAAAATCTTTTACATGTCCCTGAAATTACAAAAAATCTCCTTAGTGTGTCTACACTTGCTTATGATAATAATGACTTCTTTGAGTTTCATTCTCACAAGTGCTTTGTCAAAGACCGGGTTACCAAAATTGTGCTTCTGGAGGAGAGCCTTAAGAATGGACTGTATGTGTTTGACCAAGCTCAGATCAATTTTCCTCCACAGCCGCTGACCTGTCCAGTTCAATCCCCTGTTTCTCATGTTCATAAGTTTTCTGTCAATAATACAATAGTTAATACTGAAATTTCTCCTTCCTGTTCTACTTTTGAGTTGTGGCCATCCATCGGCCAAAATTGTAACCACAGTTCTAAAAGGTTGTAACATTTCTCATAGCAATAAAACTCTTCCTTCAGTTTGTGCAGCATGTTGTCTTGGTAAAATTCATAAGTCTCCTTTCTCATTGTCTACAACTTGCTTCACTGATCCTCTGCAATTAGTCCATACTAATCTATGGGGTATAGCACCCGTGCAGTCATCTAGTGGTTACAGGTACTATATAAGTTTCACTGATGCCTTCTCTTGATTTACTTAGATCTATATGCTTAGAAATAAGTCCGATGCAATTCAAACCTTCATTAACTTCAAAACCCAGGTTGAATTGCAATTGGATTTGAAAATTAAATCAATTCAATCTGATTGGGGAGGTGAATACAGAGCCTTTACTAATTTTCTTGTGTCTCATGGCATTGTTCATCGTGTCTCTTGTCCACATGTGCATGAGCAAAATGGTGTTGCCGAAAGAAAACACCGTCATATTGTTGAGAATGGTTTAGCTTTACTTGCTAAGTCATCTTTACCTTTAAAATACTGGGATGAAGCCTTTCAAACTGCTGTTTATCTCTATAATAGGCTTCCTAACTCTGTTTTACAATTCAAAACTCCTCTGGAAGTGTTACTTCACACCACACTAGATTTTTCCCAACTAAAAGTATTTGGTTGTGCCTGCTATCCTTATCTCAGACCTTACAATAAACATAAACTCAATTTTAGATCCTCTGAGTGTACTTTTCTTGGTTATAGTTTTAATAAAAAAAAGGTACAAATGTCTTGATAAGTCTAGTAGAATTTTTGTCTGCAGGGATGTAATCTTTGATGAAGGGGTTTTTCCTTTTTCCAAATTGTCTTTCACTCCTCTCTCTTCATCTCCCGTGTCTTCCATTTCTTCTCATCCTCTTGCTATTCCTGTTGTGTCCCCTGTTCAATCCTCCATTTTGCCTCATACTCCTTCTATTACTTCGGCTATTCCTAAGTCACCGTGCACTGTGCCTGATCCAGGTCCCTCTCCTAGTGAACCCATTGCTATGACTAATGTTTCTTGTGCAAGCTCCTTTAATCCTTTTGTGACTACACCCTTGCCACGTCAATCCTCTCAACAGGGAAAAGAGGTGATTAACTCTCATACTATGTTCACTCGCTCAAAGATGGGTGTTTTCAAACCAAAAGTGTACATTGCAGCCCAAGAACCAACTTTCGTTCAGGATGCATTAGTTCAAGAACAATGGAGGGCTGCCATGAATGATGAGTTTTTGGCCCTTCTAAGGAATGGTACGTGGTCTCTTGTTCCTCTGCCTGTAGGAAGAAAGCTGATTGGCTACAAATGGGTTTTCAAAGTCAAGGAAAATCCAGATGGCACACTTAACAAGTATAAGGCACGGCTAGTGGCAAAGGGGTTTAATCAAATTGCCAGTTTTGATTTCGATGAAACCTTTAGTCCTGTTGTGAAACCAACAACAATTAGAGTGGTGCTTACAGTTGCTTTGGCAAGAAGTTGGTGCATTAGACAGTTGGATATCAACAATGCTTTTCTCAATGGTGACTTACTAGAAGAAGTGTACATGACTCAACCACAGGGCTTTGAAGATCCGAAATACCCTCACTTTGTTTGCAGACTTCACAAATCATTCTATGGCCTGAAACAGGCACCTAGAGCCTGGTTTGACAAGCTGAAAAGTGCTCTGCTTGCACTAGGATTTGTCTCCTTAAAGTCGGATCAGTCCTTGTTCATGAGGTTTCATTCTCAACATGTCACTTTTATACTTGTGTATGTTGATGATATTTTGCTAACTGGAAGTGATGAAAAGGAGGTGCAATAGTTAATAAAATAGTTGAACAACTGTTTTGCTCTAAAAGATATGGGAGAAGTGAATTTTTTCTTAGGAATTCATGTCACTCACACTATTAATGGTGTGCTCTTATGTCAGAAAAAGTATATCATGGATTTACTGTGTAAGGCACGAATGTAGGGTGCTAAACCTATTGAAACTCCTATGACCACTGGCTTCAAACTTTCAGCCTTTGGAAGTGATGAAGTAGAAAGCCCACAACTATATAGAAGCATCGTTGGAGCTCTTCAGTAGGTGACTATAACCAGGCCTGAGTTGTCTTACTCTGTCAATAGAGTTTGTCAGTTCATGCACAAACCTCTTGAATCCCATTGGCGAGCTGTGAAGAGAATACTTAGATACTTGAAAGGCACACTTGACTTTGGTCTCCATCGTCAGAAATCTGCCCAACTCAGTTTAGTAGCCTATTGTGATGCAGATTGGGCATCCGATCCAGATGATAGAAGGTCAACCTCTAGGTACTGTGTTTACTTAGGTCCAAATATTGTCTCCTGGAGTTCTAAGAAGCAGCAAACAATTTTCAGGTCCTCAACAGAAGCCGAATATAGAAGTTTAGCAAATGTGGTTGCTGAAATTACATGGCTCTCTTCGCTGCTCAATGAGTTAAGAATTGACACTTCGACTAGGCTAGTGGTGTGGTGTGACAACCTCAGTGCTGTACAGTTGGCTGCCAACCCTGTTTTACATGCCCGAACTAAGCATGTGGAACTTGATCTATATTTTGTAAGG